AAGGTATTAGCACCCCCACAACGCCCCTTTCAGGTTCCCTATGATGGGCTGTTTTTCTCATAAATAAACTTTAAAATGATGCTTTTACCCTTTTTATTTGCGGAATTTAAAAATAGTGACTATATGGCCCTAGTTGCTAATGTACAGATAAATGTAAGTAACAAAGCGGTAAAAGAGAGGGAGAAAGTAAAGAAACCTCCGAAGCAAGCTTTCTTGATTAATTCTCTTAAAATAGGACACTTTTTGGCAGTCCTTCCCTCTACAACGTCGGTCGCTCTTCCTCGCAACGTTAAAAAATACTCTCTAAGAACACTCAGGAAACTCCGGAAATGCTTCGGAGGGGCTCTAGGAGAAGAAATTGAAGAAATGATAGAAGCGAAAGTTGAAGAACTATGTGAAATGAAGGAGAGAGCGCCCTACTTTTATAGGGATTCGCGCTTGTCAGGTCGAGACCGTCGTCTCGCCTGGCAAGGTCGAGACGGCCGTCTCGCCAAATGGGACGGTCGTCTTGCCTTTGGCAAATCGCGAGATGGCCGTCTCGCCAATCTAGAAGGCGGTATCGATTTGTAAAATGGTGAGAATGCCATCTCGTCAAACGGGAAGGCAGTCTTGCCATGGTAGGTGGCGAGATGGCCGTCTCGCCAAACGAGACGGCCGTCTTGCCCTTTGCCGATGGCGAGACAGCGGTCTCGCTAAGTGAGACGGCAGTCCCGACCTTTTAGGTGGAATTCCTTATTTTTTTCTATACAAAAAACCTTCCTACTCTAATATGGAGCCTAATAGTCTATCCTAGGGACCTTTTAGGCCTTGTCCATCTTCGAATTGGAGGTCTTCTGCTCTTTATTTTGAGGCCAGATAAGATTTGGGGTCTATAACGAGGTAAGGGTATCCTGCAGAAGAGTGCATATTTAGGGTAGTTTGAAATTTCCTCACCAAGGCTAGGCCCCCAAGGTGCCCCCATTATAGGGTCCCCACTTTCCCAGCCTTCTAACCATGCATGGCACTAGGGCCTAGTCAGTCTTTGGGCTAAAAGAGGAAGATTATCACCTTGAGTGGTGGTTTCCGACCATACCGGTGGGCTCATGGCCCTCACTATGACATATCATACAATGCCACCCACTCCCTATGGATATCCCACTTGCCTCCGGGTATAGGGGGAACTGTTGTGTGCAAGGGTTTGTGTACAGTTTGTATTTCAAACAAATTGCATAAAATAAGCATACAACGGTTATTAAAGCCAAGCAATTAAAACATGTTATAAAATAAGGAAGGGTAAAGGCGCAATTTTAAGTTTTATTTCTTAAAACTAGTCCATCACTAAATGGGATCAACTCTCTAGCTTCCCTAGTGGAGTCGCCATTTGTCGCCGCCGTCAAAAGACGCAGCCAGAGCGACGCGATGGTTTTGTTCGACTTGTGTTTTTAAAAGTATGGTTCAACGCTTTTTAGGTTGTCCGATAACCGGGCTGGACCTAAAAGCAAGGTTTTCGAAAGGTTCGAGGAGTTGCCACCAATGTTTTTACCAGAAACATTAGAAAAGGAAAAGAAGGCAATGGTTTTTTAAGAAAAATCAACTTTGGTCATTACAACCAGAGTTAGGTAAGGGAGTTAGTTACGTGTAGGGAAGGTATTAGCTTCCCTACGATGCCCGTTTCGGGTTCCCTATGATGGACGGTTTTTGATAAAGAAATAATAACTATAAAATTGTGAAAATTAAATTATTGACTACATGGCCCTAAATGACTAATGCACAATGATATTATCTAGAAAGCAATAAAATAGAGAAGGGAGTATATAGGAACCTTCGAAGCAAGCTTTTATAGTATGTTCTTGAAAGAGGGTGCTTTTTGGTAATCCCCACGCTCTACAATGATTATTGCTCTTTCTCACAGCACTCTAGAACGCTTTCTAAGAACTTTAAGAACTCTGGAAATGCTTCAGAGGGGTCCTAAGAGAGTAATTTTAGAGTAGTACAATAGAGAAAGTTGTAGAAATTGTGTGTAAAGAGTGAGAAAGTCCCTCCCTTTTATAGAAATTCGCACCTGTCAGGTTGGGACAACCGTCTCGCCTGAAAATGTCGGGATCGCCATCTCGCTAAACAAGACGACGGTCTCGCCATTGGCGAGTGGCGAGACGGTGGCCTCGCCATTGGCAAGTGGCGAGACGGTGGTCTCACCATTAGCAAGTGGCGAGACGGCGGTCTCGCCAAACGAGACGGCGGTCTCGCCCTTAGCCAACGGCGAGACAGCACTGTCGACCCTTTGGGTGAAATTTCTTATTTTTCTTTTAAAACAATCCTTCCTATTCTAATATGGGTCCTATTGATCAATCCTAGGGACCTTTTAGGCCTTGCCCATCTTTGAACGAAAGACTTCTACTCTTTATTTTGAGGTTGGGAAATATTTGGGGTCTACATGTATCAAATGGATGTGAAAAGTGCTTTTCTAAATGGTTTTATTAAAGAAGATGTTTATGTACAACAACCTCTGGAATTGAAGATTTTAAACATCCTGATCATGTCTTTAAATTAAAGAAAAAACTTTATGGATTAAAAGAAGCCCCTAGATCATGGTATGAAAGACTAAGCAATTTTATAATATCAAATGATTTTTCAAGAGGACAAATTGATTCTATATTGTTTATTAAAAGAGTAGGAGAACACATTCTGCTAGTCCAAGTATATGTTGATGATAGTATCTTTGGATCAACTGATAACTCTTTGTGTGAAGGATTTGCAAGTATAATGCAGGGTGAATTTGAAATGTCCATTATGAGGGAATTAACCTTCTTCCTTGGACTTCAAATTAAGAAACTAAAAGATGGCACTTTTGTGTCACAAACCAAATATTACAAAGAAGTTCTCAAGAAATTTGGAATGGATACTGCCAAAGAAGAAAACACACCAATGGGAACATCCTACTATCTGGATAAGGATGAATCAGGTTTGGAAATAAATCAGTCTATGTATAAAGGTATGATAGGTTCTCTATTACACTTAACTGCAAGTAGACCTGATATTATGCATTCTGTTTGTGTGTGTGCTAGATTTCAAGCATGTCCAAAAGAATCTCATTTATCTGTAGTAAAAAGAATTTTAAAATATCTGAAAGGAACCATAGGATTTGGGTTATGGTATCCTTCTAGAGCTTCACCTAGTTTAATAGGTTTTTCTAATGCTAATTATGGGGGTTGTAAGATTGATAGAAAGAGTACTAGTGAACCTGTCATCTATTAGGATATTCCTTAATTTCCTAGCACTCTAAGAAACAAGCCTGTGTTGCTTTATCCCCAACTAAAGCCAAATATATAGCGGCTGGAAATTGTTGTGCTCAAATTCTTTGTATGAAGCAATAACTAGAAGATTATAGTATTTTTCTTAAAGACATTCCTTTGAAATGTGATAATACGAGTGTAATTAACCTTACTAAGAATTCTGTTATGCACTCTAGAACTAAGCATATTGAAATTAGGCATCACCTTTTAAGAGATCATATTTCTAAGGGAAATTGTAAAATTGAATATATAGATACAAAACATCAATTAGCAGACATATTTACCAAACCTCTTCCCACGGATAGATTCTATGAACTTAGGAGAGACTTAGGAATATTAGAAATAGTTTAAACTCTGTAAAACTGTAAAATCTTTGCATTTCGTACTGGAATAATCGATTATCTTGGGTAATAATGAATTATTTTGTGTCTAATACATGTTAAATTTGTCAACCTCTTTGGAGTAATCGATTATTTCAAGTGATAATATATTATTCATGCTGACATAATCGATTATTTTGAGTTAATAATTGATTATCCATAACTCAATAAGAGAAACCTGTAAAGACTCTCTAGAATAATCGATTATCTCAGTTGATAATCGATTATTCATGCATATTTGAAAATTTTCTGGGCAGCTAATGAACAAATAATCGATTATCATGAGTGGATAATTGATTATTCTGCGTTGTTGGGCAAAAACTAGCCATTGGCAATGTCTCTTTTGACATTGATTCTTGTGTTTATAGCCATTAGAAGTATTCTCTCTATATAAGAGGACTCAGAAACTAATCAAATCACCTTTTGTCTCTCTACCAAGTGTTTTTCATTGATTTCAAGATCATTTTTTGCCTCTCTCAAACTCTTGCTTCTCTCAATACCAAATCTTTCTCTCTTCCAAATACCCCTTCTTCTTAAATGGCTTCATAATCCAGAAGAAAGATCCCCACCAGGAGAAGATCAGCTCCTTCTTCTCAACCTCGTCCATCTCCATTGAAGGATGGATCTCTAACAAAGAGAAGAGACAAGAGTTTCTTACCTTCTGGAAAGAAAGGGGTATAATTTCTCCGAAATTCTTAAAAGGAGATCAATTCATTGACTGTGGATTCATCTTTCCAAATCTTCTTGAGCAATAAGGTATATTACCTTTTGTTGAAATGGAAGGAATGTATTATCCTGACTTGGTCAGGGTCTTTTACTCTCGCTTCAAATATCGTGATCATGTAGTAACAATGAGAGTCAAAGGCGCCACCATCATTCTTGATGATGACATTTGGGAGAATGTAGCAAAGTTTCCCATCCGATATGATGCCATCAACGTCCTGATGGATCTAGATGACTTCAACAAAATTCTGGCATACCGCTCCTTCCTCCACAATCCTGCCATGGAGATTGGAAGATAGTTTCTTTCAGGACCACTAAAGAAAGAGGAACGAATGCTCCTTCATGTTATCGTTTGGATCCTCTGTCCCAGAGCCACCAATCATGCTCAGTGTTCTACTACTAATCTTCGTATAATACATGCGATTATGAACAATTAGCTAATTGATTGCCTAACCTTGTTACTTTGACGATGCTCAAAGCCAAGCGACATCCTACCTTCAGGATTCCTTATGCTCTTCTCATCTCCCGAATTCTAGAATACAAGGGATTTAATCTTGAAGGCGAACAAAGGCTTCGGATGTTGGACTCAAATAGAATGCTTGACAGCACACTTACTCAGTTGCAGATGGTCAATGTTAATGGAGCCTACTTCCATAAGGATGATGTGCCAAATGTTGCTCTTACTGCTGATTCTGAAGATGAAGAGATGGTTGTTGCTGATGTTGTTGCTCGTGTTGGAGGGACTTCTTCTGGTGCCCATTGTCGCCGCCGTCAGAAGAGGCGGTCGGAGCGACGCGATGGTTTTGAAATGACTCGCGTTTTCTTTGAAAGAAACGCTTCAACGCCTTTAGGCCGTCCGATAACCGGGCTGGACCTAAAGGCGAGGTTTTCGAATAGGTTCGAGGAGTCGCCATCAGTGTTTTAACCTTAAACACTGAAAAAGGTAAAAAAGAAAAAGGCAGTGGTTTTAGAAAAAAACAACTTCGGCCATTACAACCTGAGTCGGGTAAGGGAGTTAGTTACGTGTGGGGAAGGTGTTAGCACCCCCACAACGCCCCTTTCGGGTTCCCTATGATGGACTAACTTAGAAAATAAACACTTAAAGAAATTACATTTTTACCCTATTATTTGATCTACTTGCAGAATTTAAATATCTACATGGCTCTATTATCTAATGCACACAAAGAAAGCGATAAAGAAAGCAGTATAAGAAGACAGAGAATAGATAAGGAACCTCCGAAGCGAGCTTTATATTAACTCTTCGAAAACGTGAGGACGCTTTTTGGCAGTCCCCCCACTCTACAAACACGCTCCTCCCGAAAAATAAAGAAAAGTTACTCTATCGAGGGACAGATGTCTCAAAAAGAGACTTCCTTAACCGATTTCAACTTTAACGGAAATCAGAAAGCTCCCTCGAACCCCAGAATAATGCTCAAGGTCACTCTCAAGTGCCAAAAGGCTTCCAAGAGAGTGGAGGAGTGTGAAAGGTGTGAAAAAATGGAGAAATGAGGCCCCTATTTATAGGGATTCGGGCCTGGAAAAGGTGGACGACCTTAAAGTTGCCATGGACGGCCGTCTGCCTGTTCTGGACGGCCATCCGCTTGTTCTAGACGACCATCTGTTGTCTCTGGCAGATTTCCCGATTTTTAATGCCTCTAAAAACCCTTCCTATCCTAAATGGAACCTATAACAAGCTACTAGGGACTTGATAAAGTCTTAACCATCTTCGAAACGGGCGATCTTCGGCTTTATTAGGGGGCCGGGCAAGATTTGGGGTCTACACCCATACTGAAGTCCACCCCTCTATTGAAGACATGGTATCAAGTATGAACCAACAAATGAAAATTTCTTCACCATCTCTGAAAGTCGGCATCAAGAAATGGTGGTTCTCATTTCAGATGTGGATTCACGTGTATCGTCTCTGGACTACAAGTTTGATTTAGAGTTTGGATATGATTCTCAGAGCGATGAGTTTTAAAAATATGATGTAATAAATTTAGCTCTCTATCAATATATATTGTTTTGCTATCTTAAACACATATCCATAAATTGCATTTTTAAGGGGGAGTCATTCTATTTTCTAGCATTAATTGAGGGGGAGTTTCTTGTACTTTTTTCTTATGATGAAAAAGGGGGAGAATGTATTTAAAAACCTGGTATGTTTAATATTGTTTTATGTTAGTTGTAACAGTAAACAGGTTATTACAAAGGGCTTTAAAGCAGATTTTGATCATCAAAATGGGGGAGATTGTTGAAAACACAAGGGTATGATGTCTAAAGATTTTGATGATGAGTTAAAGATAAAAGGACTTCAAGATTAGAAGGCTTATATACTGTTGTATCTGTTTGTAATAACTCTGTTTTATCATTTTGAGTCTGTAAAAATAGAGTCCAAGATCCAGCGCATAGTTTGTCCACTGAAAGTTCTTTTTTAACTAAAATGCTCTGTGATAATCGATTATCACTTGGGATAATCGATTATCCATAATCGATTATCACTTAAGATAATCAATTATCTTAGTTGTCCCTGGGTTTCTAAAAGTCACTAGAATAATCGATTATTTCAGTGGATAATTGATTATCCTGGCCTTATTTTGTCTTCTTATTTTGTCTTCTGCAAAATTGGCTCTGTGATAATCGATTATCACTTATGATAATTGATGAGTCATTATATTCCCATATTTTCTTCCCTTTTTGAACTTATTTTAATTAGTGCTTTGGGCTTAACTTTCTATTATTAGTGAATTTTTATTAATTGGGCCTCATTAGGCCAATAATTCAGATTTTAATTAATTTGAATCTATTTGATCTAATTTTTTCTCATTATTATTTTCAGGACAATTTAAAGCAATTTTGGACTTGGAAAATTGGGTCAAATGTCATTTTTTATTCTCTATGGATACTAATATTGGTTCACTGTTTTATTTATCATTTTTTCTACAGATCTTAAAAAATCATGATTCTAGAAGTATTATAAACAAGACACATTAACCTTTCCATAGGATCCAAAATCATTCAATTCGGAGCTAAATTGGATTTTACATAAATTATCCAAAACAGGTCACCAGGTTAGCCCAATGGACATGCTTCAGTAATTTAAGTCTCTTAAATTCATTAGACCTCCGAAAATAGTAGAAACTATGGTGTTTGAAAGCTAACTCAAAAGGCTTTTAAAGGAGCCTAGAATCGCTTAATTTAGATAAGTATTGAAAATAGTGAACGTGTTTGAAGTTGGCGGACCTGCATTGAAGCCAACTTATGATGTGTTTTGTGGATCAATGAGGCCCAAACCTAGATTAAGATTAGGGTTAGGGTTATTTATATAATAGAGGCACATAACACAACACACATCACACAAGGATCATGCAGCAGCCATGCAACCGCCTTTCATCTTCTGCATTTTGTATTCAAGTTTGTTTACTCTTCTGTCATTACTCTTCTGTAATTATGTCTCTTCTTCTACGTTTTTTATTTTTCATGGATAGCTAAATCTTAATATTGATTTTCTAAGGAGAATGCAAGTATATCTTTGAGGTTTTGTTCTTCAATTTGATTTCATTTGTTCTCTTAACTCTTCATCTTCTAATCTCAGTGTTGAATTATAATATGTTTATACTTAAACCGAAAATAATATCATAGTTTGCTTAATTCTGTGTTAGATATGAGATTATGTGATGTATGCAATGCTTAATTGTATAAGGATAATTTGGGGTTAATCTTCACGTAGTTGGTTAATTTCATATTGGAATAAGGATTAAGGAAAATTTGGGATTAATCTTCGCTTAGTTGGTTAATTTCATATTGGAATAAGGGTTAAAGCTAATTTGGGATTAATATTCGCTTAGTTGATTAATTTTGGATTGGAATATAATTTGAGATTTATCTTCGCTTAGTTGGTGAATTTTGAATTAATTTCATAACCTAGGATAAGTGACACTGCATTGGAATCAGGAAATCAATTGTATTTTAATCTGTTTTTAAACCGCATTTTTATAATTTGCTTCATCTAATATTTTAATTCTGAAAAATCCCGTTTTGTTGCTGTTCTAATTTGAAAAATTGATAAGCTTTGATAGAAATTTGTGGTCTTTGGGAGACGACCTAGGAAAGCTTCCTAGTACTACATTTATCTATTTTAATTATTTGCCCGAGTACGACATCGATCAATAATTGATTATTTGTGTCAGTTATGAGTTTGAATTTCAAATTTCTAACCAATTTTTGAAAACCCTAATTTCAAAACCCTAAAATCTCGATTTAAGGAACTCTCTGGCTCTTTGTAAATTACAACATTTTTCATAATAAAGTTTATAGCTGTGATTGCTGAGAGAAATTTGGGTTGGGAAGAAAAATGGGTTTTTGTAACCTAGTGTGGGCTAGAAGCGATAAGAATCACTAAGTGGGTTTCTTGGTGGATTGTGTGTTGTGCCATCTCTAGGAAAAGTTGTCTTCATCCTTTGTGGTTTCAAAGGAGGTGTTCATCTCTTGTGTGACTCAAGAGAGGTGTTTTCTAATCCTTTTCTATTTGTAATATGTTTATCCGAGAACTATATTTTAGTGACTGAGTTAATCCTCTTTTAGAGTGATTAACAACTGGACGTAGGGTCTTTTGATCCGAACCAGTATAAATTACCTGAGTAATCTTCTTTTACTTATCTCTTTACTTTTAAGTTATTGTTTAATCAGCTACATATTGCGAAAAGATTTTAAAGTGATAATTTTTATAAAGAAACCAATTCACCCCCCTCTGTTTTGTCCCAAACGCAAACATTCCACTATGCGATTCCAACTCGATGTGATATTCTTAATGAATACATGAAGCAATTCCTAGAGGTGAGATTTGTTAGACAAATGGAATCTAGAGGGGGTGAATAGGTGCACCAATTATAATAGATGCCAAATTAAAATTTATTTAAGATGTCAATAATTGATAAAATTGAGTTTGAACATAGATAAAGCGAAAGCAATAATATAATCAGGAAGATATAGGGAAAAATACAAGCACACAGATATAGGGAAAAAAAAATCCAAAAGTCATAAAGTGAAGAGAGAAGAGCACACAGTAATTTATACTGGTTCGGGTATAGCCAACCCTACATCTAGTTCCCAATCACCTCTAACACAAGAGTGACCCCAATTCACTATCTTTAAAATTCAGTTTACAAATTTCAATCAACTCAGCAGAGGAACTAGTAAAGATTAAACTAATTAAAAAAACAATCACCTCCTTAGAAACCCACTAAGGATGAACACCTTCCTAGAATCCCACTAGGGATGAACACCTCCTCTAAACAAATTAAATAATGAAAAGTACCTCCTTTGCAACCCACACACAAAGGTTGAACACCTCCCTAGAATCACACTAGGTATGAACACCTCCCCGAACAAAATCAAAGGGATGATAGTAGAAAATCTAAACACAAACACACTGCTCAAGAAACAGTGCAACCACCTAAACCCTAGAAAGGGGATTAAACAACAACCACTTAAACCCTAAACAGGGAATTTAACATCAACTTCCTAAACCCACAAAGGATGAAGACAATAAAATAAGAGTGTAGACCCCAAATCTTGCCCGACCTCATAATAAAGACCAAAAGACCTCCTTTTCAAAGATGGATGAAGTCCAAGAAGCCATTAGGAGAGACTATTAGGACCCATACTACGATAGGAGGGATTTTCTACATGTAAATAAGGATTTTCGCCTTTTAGGGTCGAGACCGCCGTCTCGCTTATCGGGACCGCCGTCTCGCCACTTCTGCAAGTCGAGACCACCGTCTCGT